TACATTATGAGCATCAGCTGCTGCGAGTTAATAGGTCTATGATGAAGAAAAAACGAAGTATTTATCACAAAGATTAATTATATGTCAAAGACATGTTAGATATATTGCCGGAGTATTCGATTCAGTGAACGATTCTATTTAAGAAAAGACGTTCTTTGAAATGCTTCATTTTTGCAGAAATGCCCGATTTGGGAAAAATCTGGTTTCTAAAATCATAAAGGTAAAATCGTATTCTGTCTAAGGCATGAGAGGTGGTGTTCAGAGTATTTCCGGTAATTGATTTTTACGAATGTCTGGATAGGAATATCTGGTAAATATTTTGTGATTTTTCAAAATAATTTACCAGCAAACAGTGCCCAATTTCAATTAAGGCTTTTCATTTGTGACATTAGATAGATTGTTTTAAGACAGTGAAAGAATGTAAAGGTGTTATTTCAATTAGCGTGAGAGGTGGTTTTCAGGATATTTCTGGTAATAGATTTCTTTACATATCCGGAATGGGAGTCCAGTAATTGCCGTCTAGGAAAACATCAATATTGTGATAATGAATAAGTAAAATTGTAACAAATGTATATTACGGGACGTTGTACAGTTGTAGGCCTATGCCATAATTAAACAATTAAAAGGGATAAGGTAAAATAATGAGTCTCATGGGAACAGTTTGACGTTTTGACGCATGCACACTGCAAAACACAATACGATAGGATCTCACAGTAAACAAATTACATCCCATCGTATTTAAATAGAATGATTTTTCTTTCTTATATTAATGTGAGAATTGTGTATTCTACTATTAAGACTGGAGTCTTTTGTAATTATATTAACTTAAACCTGGGTGTAAAAAAGTATCAAAAATAATGCAACACGATTCAAAGATTCCGATGTTGAAGCACAAATGATTTTAGATGTTTGATTATGAGTATTTCCGCCTATACTGTTTCCTCCTGCTGATCTTCCAATCGTTTTGATGAGTTTAAATGATAAAACATATATTCCTACATACGTTTATTTTTTTCACATAACTGTTTACTTATTATTGAGGGGTTTAACAGGGGACCACAAAAAATTAAAAAATATTATTATTTTGATATTTTTGAAGTTTACAACGTATTATAAAAATTAGAAATATTAAGTCTTGATATATTTTTTTAAGTTTACAACTGATGATCTACTAATGAATTGCTTGTTTGAAAGGTAATATATCTATTTTATTTGTTAAATTGAAAATGAGACCATCTGTCTGTTTGTATTTTTTTGTTAAAATTTTAACAAATAAATGACACGGTAAGTTCACCTAAATTGTACGTCTATGTTGATCTTCAGGATTTGACAAGTAAAAAATAATATTTATTTGATGTGTAATCCATGTTTTTTAATCATCTTTCTCACCGGTGTTCTCCAGGGTTGCACTTATTGTCACACCTATTTTGATCCATGATCTTTTTATTTTTTATTTCATGATCGTACTACAATTGGCAATAAACTGTGAATGTATGAGCGACCATAAATGTACAGGCCCATTGAAATAGGGGATGGGGATGTGTTGGGTGCGACTGCATTCCCTATGGCACCCCTCACTAAAACTGAAAAGGGGAATTTTTTATTATTTTTTCTAATTGACTCAAACACGTTGGGTGTGCATGGAAATCACTGAAGAGTATTGTACCCCGTGCACCCTCCTACCAGAAAACAGTGGAATTAAGTAGTTTGATCTCAAACATAAAAAGTTTCAAGAATTTTATTCTATTATTTCTAACACTTCCAAGTATTGGTAGAAGGATCTATCAAGTATCATCATAAATTAGGTGTGTATGTCATTTCGAATTTTCTCTAAAATTGACTTAACGGGGTATCATCATATTTTGAAATTTGATGATATCCCCATGTTAAGTCAATGGAGACAAATAAAATTAAAAACAGAAGATGTGCAGTTCGCAAAGCTTTACCTACCTTCCAAGGTCAAGGTTTTTTAGCATTGTTCTCTAATAATTTATCATATGTTCATATTTTTGTAATAATGTTTCTAATTTATAATTGATGATTTGGTAAATTAGACCCCTGCTGAAATCACAAATTAATAAACATCTGTTAAGTTGTATGATGTTCAACAGATTTAGAAATAGTCGATGATGTAATTATAACTAATATGGACTAATTCAAATCGTTTAACTTTAACAATAATTTTTTTTAAATTAAACAGTATTTTATGAGTTATACCACCCACTGTGAGTTTTGAGTCCATTTTTGGTCTTATTTTTTCAGTTAAAATCGTATAAAATGTTCTTGATATCAAAGAGGATATGATATTTTAACTTATTTACATGTAAATATGAAAAAATTATTTTGAAAAATGGCCCCTGCGTAATCCAAAATAAATGATAAACAGTAATGTTATGTGATGCTCAACAAGCAAAAATATGATCAGTGATATTAAATCTACCAATACAATATAAATACAGTGGAGCTTCAACTGGAGGTAGATATTAAAATTTAGTAATGTTTAATGTGCAGCAAAGCTGTGGCCTTTTGTAATTTGGGGAGTTATGATCAGCCATGTTAATTTTTCCGAAAATAACATGGCAGAGAAGTATCAAAATATAAGAGGACACAGATATGATAGCTAAACTACAAAACAAACTAAAATATACAAAATATGTTTCTATTTTTACATAAACTGTTTCAATTTGGTCATTTAATTGCTTATTTTTTAAATTCAAAGTACTCACAAACATTTAAAATTTTACTGTAATGATACTCTTATACTTTATCGATTGCCGAGGAAATACTTGTCAAATAGTGACTTTTTGGGACACCCGATATATAAACTTTTTTTAAATTTATTTTATCTTATTCAAGAGAATTCCCCTTCAATTCTAAAGTAATGGGTGTTTCATAATGCCCCCTCCCCATCCGCAGCCATTTCTAGATTACATGGCCCCATAATCTATACATCATGATAAAGCTTATTGAATTAGGAACACAATTTATGAACTTATGTTTTGCAGTAACTACAACCCTAATTTGCTAGATTTATGACCGCCATTTTTAATGGAAATAAAGAGATAGGCAGATAATTGCAAATTCCATTGCATCTTGTATAGCTCTCTGGGTAGTTAAAAGGAGTTAAAAATTTCTTTCAAATATCATTAGTATACATCATCGGCATTCTTAAAATGCTATAATTGGTTCATTACTGGAGATATTACTTTTCTGTTCTGACTTTTTAGAAAAGGTGGCTGTAGGATTGTATGCAATCTATAGATCAAATGGGCACCATTTGTAGTGATATATAGACTCCCCTCAATAAGTTTGACAGCCGTGTCATAACCTGTAAAGAATAAACTAATAACGCAAAAGCAAATATAACTTTATCTCCTTACCTCCAAATGTTCTCAATTTTCGAAAATTTATGACAATTTTTGAAATTGACATTTCTATGTAAACCAATGGGAAGTGGTAGGTTGGCCGCAAGTCATATGATAAAATATCCAAAAAGTTATAGGCCTCCAAAGTAGTTTGCAAAAAGTTAGATAATTTGATTTTCTATACAAAAAAATGTTGCTATTTTTTGCTAAATTTTTTCTTGAATAGATATATCCTGGAATCGATATCTGATTTGCCCCGGCCCGTACCCACCATTCCCCATTGGTCTACATTGGAATGATGATTTTCACAAAGTCTTCAAATGTGTCAGCAATTTTCGACCACTTGTAATTGAGGAAAAAATTTAAAACATTTGGTTCCCAAATTTATTGAGGGGGGTATCTAATTGTAAAAGTTGCTGATCTAAATCAAAATGCCAACTAGAATTGATAATTGGATGGGGGCAGTCATTATGAAACACCCTGTAGATCGTTTCTTATCTTTATTTTATTTCTTAATTTTGCCCTTCAAAATTCAAAAATTCAAAATGGCCACCTTAACATTAAATTTTGAGATTAAATTCTGAGATTTTACCGATATGAGTCTTTTACGTGGAAATCAAGGTTTTAACAGTAGATTGTGAATAATAATTTATGACATATTCCAAATGTATGCCAGTGAATAACTTGTTCGTTTGGATTTGCTATTTTTAGTGTGCAATATTGTTGTCTTTGGACATATTTCGTAGTTGCAACTGCACAGCACTTCGCGTTCATACTTCACTCAATAAATTTCACTTAAAGATAATCTGCCGTCATTGAAGAGATATATGTCAAGTTAAGTACGTCTTTTCTGAGTGTCTACAGTATCAATTAGGTGCTCTTCTCAAGCTTCAGTCTCTCTTATTTGCTCATAACACAAGATAATGAAAATCAACGTGTTCTAAAAGATATCATACACGAGTATTACCTGGTATGTGTATCAAAATCAGTCCTATTTTGTACCACTTTGGTTTATTAATAAAATCTCTAAAATATACCTTGTTAAAGGAAATTGACGAAATTGCCAAATGTGATTAAAATGTTAGATACGTGTTTCAAAAAAGGATTTATATCCTCTCAGTCTCGGTAGTTTAAGTTAGTAGCAACACCAAAGTCACACATAAAAGTCCTCGTTGACCCATTTTTGCGAAAATGAAGTGTTTGTGAACGTCATTGTGTTACGACATTATCACTGGTACCCACCCTTACTTTATAACAAAATGGATGAACTTAATTCCGTCGGAGGAACGTAACGTATTTATATCAGATACCATCTACGCTGGAGTGGAAATTCCAATATTTTGGGTGCAATTTTTTCACTTTTATACGTGTGTGTGTGCAGTACACCCTGTCCCTACGTAGCGATTTTGTGTTATGAACCTATGATATCTTCATTTTGGACGCATCATTTTCCATTTTCTTACCTTGGGAATGAAATAATATTTTTAAAAAAAGCTTTAGTCGCTTTATCTACTATATTTGGATAGTTGACATAAAAAAATGTAAACGATATGATGTATTTTACGTTTTATTTGGATTTCTATTAATGTGTCAAAGAAAATAGTGTAATGTAAAATGTATTTCATGTACTTTTAGGTTGTGAAGATGTTGGTTATAGTTGTGGGACTCTTCGCTATTCTTTGGCTCCCATACCGCGTTCTTGTCGTCTACAATTCGTTTGCTAAAGAAACCTATATGGATCCATGGTTCCTCATGTTCTGTAGAACAATGGTCTACATCAACAGTGCTATCAACCCCATACTGTACAACGCCATGTCGGGGAAATTCAGACGAGCTTTCAAAAATCTCTTCGTCTGCGGAAGAAAGGCAGGCCAAGGCAGTTTTACAGAAATACCAATGAACGCTAGGACTCCTCCATCATCGCCCGACAATCGAGGAAAATATCGATATACTGGTAATCAAACCTCGAAGAAAACTGACGAAGAGGAAATTGCTCTAAAACTGTCCAGTGGTAGAAAGACCAACCACATAGATTTTGTGTAAATAGCCAAAGGACTGACCGCATTCACAGGGTGATTACATTAGGTAAAAATGTAAAATACTCTGGTATTTAGCTCATTAATCAAATCTAAAAGAAAACCTTTCCATGTCATGCCATTTGATTGTTTGGAATAACAATTGCCATAGAGACGTCAAAGTGTCTCACTCGACCTTATATACATTAAAATAATTGTTTCAATTTATTTAGGGTACAAAAGGGACTTACTCGGCCTTGCGTCATTTATCGCACCCCCGCCCCCACAACCAATAAGAATATAGAAGAAGAAAATAGCTTTAAAATGCTTTTATTTGAAGCTTCTAGCTCAAGGAAGGAAGTTGCATCAATTTTTGTAAATTCCAAGATAAATCTTAATTTTTTGGCTTGTGTATGCCACAATCGCACCCCCCCCCCCCCCCCCCCACACTCAAAGCTGGCTACGCCCCTGGCACATCGAACACAGATTAGCGATTAGCGCCCATCACAATGTATGCATTTTCATCCAGATTCAACGACAATAGTCTTGCTTCAACCTTTGTGACCCCCTCATGTCGCCCTCATCACTCTCACATAATTCCTTAAAGGCCCATGAAAAAGTTTTAATAACTTAATCTTATATGTAGTAGCCTTGCCAAGTTATTAAATGTGATTCATGAAATTTTTAAAGTTAGTTTTGAGGGACTTTTTGTTCGAAAATTCGTGAACTTGTTTCCAATAGTTTTTCGTATATTTTGAAAAGTAAACATTTGAAAAAAAATTGTTTACCCTAAATGACATGGCGTAACCAAGTGACATCACAAATTTTAAAAATTGTATGAAATCAAATGTATGCCTATGATTAAAATTATTTATCTAAATAACTTTGACTTAATCTTTGCCCAATGAAATGTAGAAAACAGTGTGTTTACAGTCTACACCGTTGTATTTGATGATAATCTGTAAACAAACTTTTGCTGCAAAAAAGTTCAAATCTTTAAAAAATCATTGACCATTTTTTCAAAAAAGAACAAAAAAACTTGAGAAATTATATTTCGCTCTCAAACTTTGCCAAGTGCCTTTAATGCCTGCTTGAGCCCAAATTAAAAACCTTGTGTTGAACTGTTTTAGAATATTTGCATCGTCTTTCACTGCGTATTATGTCTACACAGTGGTCTGGGTAGGCTTGGACCAAGCCTAGAGATTCGCCTTGTTTAGCTTAATGTGTGGAATTACGTTGGAACATGCACGTACGTCGTATTCCTTTGTTGATGAGCTAATTAAATCTGTTCTGTCTTAAATTTGTTTCGAATGAGTAATGGTGATTCGAGTCTGCTTAGAAATTGGTGTAAGGCGATGCTCATGTTCAACGATCTTGGATAATGCGTAAAAGTGATACCATCCTTTATTTCATAATTACTATGCTATTCATCGGATATAAAGACAAAATATCATAAATACTGATATTCATTCCATAATACTCCAGTGTTTTCCCGGGAAATAGAATATCATACTGTCCCTCGTGAAATCGTATTCGCTCAGAAAAATAGTATTTAACTGGGAAAATCGTATTGGGATTATATTCACCCGGGTTGAAATCGTATTGCGATCTTATTCCCAATGGCAATCGTAATTCGAATAAATCAAATACTATAACCACACCACATTATGTGATATCGATTCTCCTTTTCGCGGAAAGTAAGGATATGTGTATCCCAGGTTGCACCACAAAAAATTAATTTGGAGATCGTATTTAAAAGAACGCAATTTCAAGTTCATGTCTGAAAGTCAGGTGCATTTGAAATATAGAGTGACTATTGATTCACTCCTTAAGGATTAAACCACCGATGACTTACCATTTTTAACAGCATCTTTGATTGAATTCAGTAAAGCATTGCTTATCATTTTCCATGGCTTTTTCGACGTTTCTAATCAGAGCATGTACATGCACAGGGTCATCCCAGAGTATGTCATTCTACATGCACATGGTCATCCCAGAGTATGTCATTCGTTTAAGACAGATACAAGCAACATTTTTGAATAAATCATGAAATCAAGTGAGTTCTTAACATAGAGGCCTGTGCCAGTCTGCCCCATCTAAAACAGAACAAAACAAGTGCTGGCATCTATTTATTCAGTTTTATCCAGCTATATAGCATTAACTCCCTTATTGAAACCCCTTAGCCCGAAATATGTTGAATTGTATATGACAGCGTCCCTCGATGAGAAAACAGAATTATTGTTTGTTCTTACTTAACAATAGGACCTTTTGTAAATATGAAGGGATGGCGTTTGATTATCATTGTAATAAAAATGGAATCGTTATGTAAGTTAGTGCTAATCTCGCAAGTTCTTTGTACATAAGGTAATGAATCAATGCTAGATGTTTAGTGGTCTATGGACGAAAATACTGGCAAAGCAATGTGCTTTAAGTATCAACAATCATCAATACAAACAGAACATACCGGGGCTTGCAGCTGATATATATAGATGGCTTATAAAGCTAAATGAAATAAGTAGATAATGAATAGATACAGGGTGGTCAAAAACGGCAATCCTAATTTTTCCTCAAATCTTTGTCATTTTTAGAAATTTTGCCCTGATATTTGGCACACATGTACATCATTCAATTTCATACTAGATTGTTTATTTCATGAACATTGGACTGATATTCGCAATGTTACAGCACTTTAAACAAGGTGCCCCAGTTTTCCAATATCGTGCTGTAGGCAAACCTGCACACATTTTTTAAACCTGTCAATGACATAACTGCATTCCTCAGCATGTATGGCCTGAACGACACATGTGATCTTTATTTTGAGGTCAAATGTCTTTCTGGTGTTATTATCCTACACTTTATCTTTGGGGTATCCCCAGTGGTAAAGATTAAATGGGGCCATATCTGGGCTATGGGGTGCCCATTCATTGTCTGTTGTACTGCTGATAATGTGGTCATTGAAGTGGTCCCAAAGCCATTATTGTGCATCATTGGGTGTATGGGGTATGTTTCTGTCTTGTTGGATCCACTGTTGCTGCTTATCAACCCCCTGGGTTCACCTAAAGTCCCCAAGAACTCCATGGAAATCACAAATAGAGTTTGATGTTGACAGTTATTGCATATCCGTTGATATCATCAAAGGTAAAGGACCATATCTTCTGAGAACACACTAAACTGTGCATCTGTCTGTGTGAAGGTGCCTCACCAGTACTTCATCAAGTGCTCGGCTCTCCAAGAATACATTGTTATAGTTTACCAGTGCATCAAGTTGGAAATGGAGTTCATTTGAATAACAGACCAGCTCAGACAGCCCGAAAGTGGCCATCTGGGGTATGTTGCTTAAAATGCAGTAATATTGTGACAATCAGTCCTATGGTCATGAAATATGGTAGGTTGGTAGGCAATTGAATGATCTACAAATGTGTAAAATATCAGGGAGTTATTTCTTAGAAAGACAAAGATAATAGGAAAAACTAGGATTGCCGTTTTTTACCACCCTGTGGCGTAAAATAGTCAAGTTATATTATAATTATTTTAATGGTAACAATAGTTAAAATACAGTGTATACGAGTAGTTTGGACAAAATATTTGTGAACACACTGAACACAAAGCTCACAATATATGATATAAAGTTGTAAACATATTTTGTAAAATTGTGAAATTGGTGTTTGAAACCTAGTGTTTAACCCTTCAATTTTTGTTTTTACACCTTCTAAAGGTTGTTGGGGTATGTTTGGTTGGTCGACACAATACAAGTAACTGCAAAGAAGCTTTTTTTCATTCTGATTTCAGTTTTTAATTAGATAATTCAGTTTTTTGTAACATTTTGCGTCCATGGCAATTAATATACAATGTATATTAATTGAATATATGTTTTGGTCGTAGTGATTTTCTTTGACCTCAGGCTGTACAAAAAATTACCATGCGATTTACATCTGGTTTGTTTTATCGGAAAGAAAATGAACTGATTGAAGATTAGATGGAATTTTATGTAGATTTAATGATCACTTCTGATATTTTCATTGCAAAGTATGTGCCCTGGGGACCCTAAAGACGATTAAGGGTTAGACATTGTATGTGTATGAATATGTACGTTATCTTACATAGATTAAAGTTCTTCGATCGAGAACTTTTGGTTAAAAATCAAATCTTAAAATAGACATATAATAGGGGGTCAAGAAGGAATACCACAGGGTAGTCTCTTTGGAAAACACCATCGAAGATATGATCGCAATGCTATAAAGATATGCGACAACATGTTGAGAAAATATAGCTTGGGTTTCTTAAAAACGCATATATGACGTGCACGGACCTGGGGACAATTCGGGAAATACGGGCTAATCTCAGCTTCAAGCGTTAATCTCTGCCTTATTTAAAAAGCTAGCTATGTGTTTTATATATCATTTTGAAGTATTTTTATTCGCATTTCAGTGAAATTATTTTTCCTTCAAAATTTTGAAGGGATCCAACATATTTCTAAAGTTAAATATATCCCGACATCGTCAAATACGCTGTAAGACGTAACACTTTACGCTTACAGGGCTCGTTGAAATTGGGATAACTTTTGAAATAATGATCAAAATCCCACTAAAATTTCAACATTTATTCAATGGAACATGTTCATTTATGACGTCACAATTGCCTAACGGCTCCAGCTCAAATTATCTTATATGAACGCTTTTATAATTTTCAAAATTTTGTAAGCTTTTGAAGGCGAATGGGACGAGCAATAAGTTTACCTTCATTTAACCCTCTAATTCAAGTCAGATTTGAAAGAAAAATTAACTGCACAATATTGTCATGGCGAAATTTACAAAACAATAACCGGTTTGTTTATTTTGTAAATAATATTAAAATAAGAGCTGGTTTTCGAGACTTGAAAAAAATGTGACGCATCGATTTTTTACCACAAATTCCATACATATCAATTTTTACCAACGCCCCAAGTGGATTTCCTGACCGTTTTTCATAATTGAAAAACATTTTAAAAATATTGTCCTCGAGATCTTGCTACCCTGTGAATTTTGTCATGATTAGATAAGGATAAAGTGTTTTATTTTTAGGTTGACTAAACTTGACAAAAATGTGACGCTTGTCGTTTTTGACGTTGTAAGGCTGTTTGCGCCCTATTCTGCTCATTGTTTTGTCTTGGTTTTTGACGACATAATGTTATGCTAATTGTCCCCAGTTTCGTGCGACGTGTAATACTTTTTATTGAGCAGTAATATTGTTATAACTTGAGTTTAACAGTCAGAGCTATTATCCATATCTGTAACTGCTTTTAAATTAAAAAATACACTCAGTCTGGTGATC